TGGTCTTGAAGTCTATTTTGGTTATATTAATATAACCATAGCCTTTCATGCTTACTGTTTGAAGGAAAATCTATTTCTCATCCTTTTACTATCAGGCTGACTGTGTCTTTGTTTTTTACTTGTTTCTTAAAGGCAGCAAACAGATGGATCTGGCTTTGTTATCTAACTCGAGGATTGCTCATTTGCCGTTTTTCATTAGCTTATAGAAGATGTTTTTCAGGTCAATATTGCACTGCAGTGAAAAAAAAGTAGATAAGAAAAGTTGTGAGTTTAAAGACACACAAGAGGGATATATACCTAGCCTGACTTATTTATTATATGATGTTTGGCCCTCATCGATATCTGAGTTTTTAATTCGTGTGGTAGCAAATATTTAAGTGCTCTTTGAAGTTGTCTTGTTTGAGGCTGAGAATTTTAAAAGGCGAGAATAGCAATCCATTCTCTTACGCATTGCTACTTCTTCTACAAATGGCTGTTCTCTTCAGGTAAATACATTTTTAAAGAGATTGCAAATCTATACTTGTGTTTAAATAATGAATACATGCTGAGAAATGAAAAGATAACTGTGTTCTGGTCAATAGTGCCCAACCAGAAGAACATTCCATAAGTGAAATAGAGTAGTTGAGCCCATAGTTAGATGCTATCTTTTCTGCTTTGGCTTTTGATAGAAATAGGACAATGAGAGATAAACTCTTGCTTTGATAAACCAGATAGGGAAAGGAAATCCAGATCCCTCTTTTAAGATGGATGAACATAGGGAGAGAAATACTCCAAGTTCCAGTGCCTGACTGAGCCTGCAGCACATCCTAGTGATTCCCACTGCAATGTAGAGGTCTTTAGCTCACCTATTTTTCTTTTGTTCCCTCCAGGAAAGACAAGGCATTCTGCACAGCAATCAGGACATGTGTTGCCTTATAAGATTGCTTCAAATTCCTGTGCAATAAATTCCCAACATCCCACTAGAACTGCAGTACAAAATCTCCAGTCTCCCAGCTGCTGTTGCAGCTGTGGCTTTGTCTCTCTCTCTCTGCCTGGATATGGGATTTGATGGTAGTTGTACCCAAAAGCAGACTAAGACACAGAGTTAGCTGTTCCATGGCTTTTCCTCCCTGGGCTTTGGATCTGAGATGAAAAACAAAAATTTCCTCAGTGTTTCAACTTCAAGCCACTTTTTGAAAGCCGAAGTCAAGGTGGAGGGCCTCTCTTTCTTCCATAGGTCCCTCCAGCCACCGTTTCCCATAATCGCTGGAGTAGAAGATGTCGTCTCATCTTTGTCTTTCCATCCTATTCTCCTCAGGAGACAATAGGAATGCAGTTTTCCAGCCCCTCCAGGGCCTTCCATCCATATGTTACTCTGCTCTTTCTGAGGTGGAGAGGAAAGGGACTGGGCTCAGATGGATTTCAGACTAGGGAAAAATACAACACTTCCTCATGGTAAATTGCATCACAAGTGCCTGACAGGCTAGAGGAGCAGGATAAAGTTGACATGTGAGCGTCTTCTTCCTACTCATAAAAACAAAGCTGCTTTTCTTCCCGCCCATCTTGTGGTAAAGCATCAACTCTTTCTTCTATTCTCCAAACATTCTTGTGCAAAAAAATGACAGGATCCTGGGTCAAACAATGCAGTTTTCTGAGCATAATGAAGAGGAAGCAATTTTACAACTTGCATCCCTGCAGAAAAAGTACAGAGTTACAGATCACGATGCTGACCCTCTACGGAGAGAGCACCGCTTTATCCCACTTACTTCTCTACCTGATAGATCTGCACTGCATCAGAGATCAATTGTGTAGTGTCTCCTTTGCAAGGCACTCACTGATATTGCAGATATAGTTGCAAACTTTCACTCTGCTTCCTATTTCTAATGCTCCTGTCATCTTCCCATTAGACAGGTTGATAATATTGTGTAATGATTTAAGCCGCCAGACAGAGGAGTGAGAGTCCTGAGGTTAAATCTTAGCTTTGCCATTTTCAAACTATGCAATTTTGGTCCTATCATTCTCTTGTTCTGAACCTTATTTCCTTATCTATAGAGCAAGGAGATGGATATTCATCCCACAAAGTTATTGCAAGCATTAAATAATACACTGTAGGAGAAAGTGCTCCATAAAGCGTGCAGTTGTCAGTTCAGAAAATCCGACAACTTAAGCAAAATAAGACTGTATTGGTTCACATTACAAAAATAGAACTTCAGGCACTGCTAGATCCAGGAGCGCCGACACTGTCACTGAGGCCAGATTTCACTCTACTTTGAATGTACTCCCTTCTATGTTGGTCTTATAGTCAACAATAAAGGATAAGGCTAACTTCCCTACTGGAATACAGTGGCTACAGAACACCGGTCTTTTCCCTCCAGGCTCAAGTCCAATGGCAAAAGAGGACAGGCCTCTTCTAACAGTCCCAGCAGACATGAAATCAGAGCTCATATCAGTGACTGCCTCATCCCTGAACCATGACGGATCATGTCTAAGTCATCCCACCTACCAGACTGGGTGTACAGTGACTTCTCAGAAACACACGGTGCGTCTGCTACCGAACGAAGTGATGGTGGGTGTGCTAAGTGTGAGGATGGGGTTTTAAAAAAAGGGCAGATTCCTCTGGGAGCTGAGAGCTCACACCTGTAATCCTAGCTTCTGAGGAGTCTGAGACCTAAGGATCACCATTTGAAGCCAGCCTGGGAAGACAAATCCAAAAGACCCTGATATCCAATGAATTAGAAAAATACTGGTAGTAGAGGTGTAGCTCAAGTGGTAGTGTGCCAGCCATGGATGAAAAAAGCTGAGAGACAAAGAGCTCCAGGCCCTGAGTTCAACCCCCCCCCACCAGCACACACACACACACACACACACACACACACACACACACGAGAAAAATTCCCCAACAATGCCAAACAAGTAGAAGTCTGATTGGACCTTTACCCTAATCCCACAAATGCTTTGGTAGGCCTTAAAGGAAGTAAAATTAGGCTACATGCAAATAACTCCCACCTGAAGCAGTAGCCACAAGCTGTACAAGAATCACGTCCTGGAGGGAATGAAGTGAAGGAGATTTAAAGTTTTAAAGTCTGCTTCCCAGTGAGGAAGCAGAACTTGTCAGGTAGCTGTGGGTGGTGGATGGCACTCCAGAAACTCAAGAGTGGAGGGCGCCTCCACCCATGAGCAGAATGCAGAGCTACAGGACTGAGCTGATGGCCGGGCTCTCAAGGCCCAGGGAAGGCCGCAGGGAAGAGGGCTGGAGCCCCTGAGTGCTGGTAAGTCATCTCATCTTCCAGAATCACTGCTCCTTTGACTTATTTCTGTCGAACAGCAGTTCCCAATCTTGGCTACGCATTAGAGTCAGCAGCTCTTAAAAAATGCTAACTTGGGGGTAACAATGCCTGACAAGAAATGTACTCATTACCTTACTGTTGTAACTGTAATCTTTTTTTTTTTTATTGTAAAGCTACTATACAGAGGGTTACAGTTACATGAGTGAGGTAATGAGTACACTTCCTCTTGAACATTGTTACCCCCTCCATGTAACTGTAATCTTAAAATAAAATAATAAAAAAGAGATAACTTGCTGGGGGTGGGAGGCTCACACGTAGGGAGTGTAATCCTAGATACTCAGGTGGCTGAGATTGAGGGTCATGGTTCAAAGCCAGCCTGAACAAGAGTCTGTGGGACTCGATCACCAATAAATTACTGAAAAGCTGAAAATGGAGTTGTGGTTCAAGTGGTAAAGTGCCACTCTTGAGCAAGAAAGAACTAAGGGAGGTGGGCACCCAGGCCCTGAGTTCAAGCCCAGGTACACATGTGCACACGCACATATGCACATGCATGTGCGCACGCATGCACACACACGCGCACACGCTACCCTAGGAAGTCCCTGTTGGTGATTGACAGAATCAGCGTGGGGTGGAGGCTAGAGGTCTGGATTATTGAACCGGCTTTCTTGTTGCCAGAGCTAGGGCTGGGCTGGGGTTTCGGGTCTTGTCCCCCTTTCCTAGCTACACTATTATTGCACTGTGTCCCTCCTCAGTGTGTGAATCCCAAAGGACAGAGGCTCACACAGCTTTGAGCCCCCTGCACAGCACAGCGCCTAGCAGGGAGCAAGCACCCAATAACCATTAGCTGCCGGAACACAGGAGGACGGCAGGCAGCAGCAAGCTGCCTTTTCCCATGTGGGCTTTTCTGGGAAAGGGAAGCTTCTATTTCTGGAAAGAGCCGCTGTGATGGAGAAGGCAGTAAAGGGGAAACAGACCCCCTGGAGGGAAAGGCTTATGGCTCACCTCCAGACCCTGCAAACTTCTCCAAAGCTCCTCTGTCACCTTCATGACAAACAGCCGTGGTGCTACTTACTGATGCTGCCAGTGTTTATGATATATACTAATGTCATTAGTTATGAGAGCCAGGCACTGGGTTCGAAGGTGAAGTGTGATGATCTCATTTAATCCTTGCTGGGATCCTGTACAAGTGGCCAGTGTCCGAGATCCATCTTACAGCTGTGGAGGGGAGGGGAGAGAAGGGGAAAAGAGGGGAGGGGAAGGGAGGGAGGAATGCCATGGCCCAGACACTGACAGGTAGGAAGTGGCAGAGCTGGGACCGCTGAGGCTGAATGCCAGTCATCACCTTTCCCAGGTGAGGCGGAGTAGTTCTGGAAAGAAGGGTACACACAGTTCCCAGGTGCTCTTGTCTGTCTTAAACATGCCCCCGTGTCCAGCAAAAAGAAGTGGAGGGCTGGAGAAATCGGGGGAAAAATAAGAGGCCCTTCCATAAAGAGGCCATTGTGCCCCTCTCCACAAAATCTGTTTTCGTTCTCCTTTTGACTCTACTGCTGACAACTGAAGGTCACTGCCTGCGTCTGCACAGCTGGGTAGGTCACAAAAACACACTCTTGCCAAGAAAAGCCAGTCGTGGGGGGGGGGGGCAGAGGAGGAGGGGAAAGGGAGGCAATTTCACCACAAGGGACGCCTGGCTGGCTTCTCCTCTCTCCACTGGCCCAATGACCTTCTCTGTTGGTGACCACTCCCTGGGGCTGGCCTCTCTGAGCTCACAAACAGCCGCTGTCTCTGGAGAAGGCAGTCTTCATCCAGGCTTGTGGCTGGGCGCTCCCCACTTTGCAGAGGGAAAGCTGTCTGGGAGAGTGGGACAGGTGGGTACCAAGTTGATGTTCATTTCCTTCTGCCCTGCGTGTGCTGTTCCAGCTGGCTAAGGCAGTGGGTAATGGAGAAGGCTTGAGATAGCTGCTAAAGGGAAGAAAGGGGAGCTGGGAGGAACGGAGGAAGGAAGAAGCTTAGCTCTTTCAACATTGGCCCATGCCCAATCCAAGAGGACTCAGGTGCTATGGTAACCGCAGGCTACCTTTGGGCACTTTGTGGCTTAGGTGTTTCTACTTTACTAAGCCAGGTGTCCTGAAAGCTACTGGGCTTGAGAATGACAGAAGGCTGAGGATCTGGCTGGCTATGGTTCCCAGACAGGCTGCTCCGAACGAGCAGAGGGATTGAAAACAAGCCCAGGCAACCCAGGACAGGCTCCTGGGTTCTTTGGGCTTAGGATGAGGGCTCCTGTCCCCTTTCTTGCATAGTTTTATCCTTCCCTGGTCCTGGGTTCTGTGCAAAGACTCTGACATCTCATAGAAGCAGCTTGAGCAATGCACATGGTGGACTGCGTGTAGTGTAATTGAGGTGCAAATCTGAGCCCTGCTCTGTGATCTGGGGCCCTCTAGCTGGGACCCAGAATCTTAAAAATTTTTCCTTTTAAAAAAGAATCAACATCAGATGATCAGACTGAATTGTGGAATGTTAGCTCCTCTGTCCAACTACTTAAAGATATACATATATATATATAACATATATGTTATATATATGATATATATATATCAAGCCCATGCAGTAGAATCTTTTGGGTAAGGCTTGTGCATCTGATTCTTTTAGAAACCAGAAGCTGATATACAGGGTCAGCTGTCTGTCCCTTTCAAGTCCCCAGAACTAGATTTCCAAACATCTGCTCCTCTGCCCCTTACCCCACCGCAGCAGGTTGGCGCCGCACACATCTGCTCTCTGACCTGCTACACATGCGCAAACAGTTCCTAATCCTCATTTGTCCCTGCCTGGCACCGGGGGAGGCCTGGACGAGTTGCCAGATGAGACCGTGCATGCTGGCTGGGCCAGCCCCTTGGGGACACTCGTGTATGTGTGTGTGTGTGTGTGTGTGTGTGTGTGTGTGTGTGTGTGTGTCTGGGAGGTGTGGTTGGTGGATCTGATGACAAAGGGGGTCCCCAAGATTTGCTGTCTCAAGTGACTAAGCCTTGCTTTGTGTCTCCCCCTCCCCCGGGTGCGCCCCGCAGGTGCCCGGCTCCAGCATGCTGGCCCTGCTCTGTTGCAGCTTGCTTCTGGCCGCCCGGATCTCTGCCACCTGGAATGTCCCCAGCCCGGTGGAAATCAGCTCAGAGCTGGCAGCGCAGATCCGTGACGTGCACGCAAAGGTGCTGGAGATCTGGCGGGTGTTCACGCAGCAGGAGGCCGACGGCGGGCGGGGCGCCGCGCTGCACGCCGCCTGCCAGGTGCAGCCGTCCGCCGGGCTGGACGGCGCGCAGCCCCGGGTGACCGGCCGGGTCCTCTTCCGGCAGCCCGCCCCCGGCGCCAGGCTGGAGGCCTTCTTCGACCTGGAGGGCTTCCCGGCCGAGCTCAACAGCTCCAAGCGTGCCATCCACGTCCACCAGTTCGGGGACCTGAGCCGGGGCTGCGAGTCCACGGGTCCCCATTACAACCCGCGGGCCGTGGCGCACCCTGACCACCCGGGCGACTTCGGCAACTTCGTCGTGCGCGACGGCCGCCTGTCCAAGTTCCGCGCGGGCCTGGCCGCCTCCCTCTCCGGGGCGCACTCGATCGTGGGCCGCGCGGTCGTGGTCCACGCGGGCGAGGACGACCTGGGGCGCGGCGGCAACCCGGCCAGCCTGGAGAACGGCAACGCGGGCCCACGCCTCGCCTGCTGCGTGGTGGGCACCATTGGGCCCGAGGCCTGGGCGAGCCGCTGGGCGCAGGAGCGGGACCAGCGCCGGAAGCGCAGGCGCGAGAGCCACTGCCAGGCCCCCTGAGCCCCGCCCCCCACCCCCTCCGCTCCAGGGCCCTCTGTGTCTCTGCAGGAGATTCCACACCCCAGGATGCCTCTGTGTGCCTAAGCGTCCTTCTGTCCCCAGACATACCCGGGGTCACCTTCGTGCCCCAAGACACCTCCATGTCCCCCAGGATCCCCGCCATGTCCCCCAGGACCCCCTCCATGTCCCCAGGAACCTCTCTGTGTCCCCCAGGATCCCCTTCGTGTCCCCAGGACACCCTCTATGTCCCCAGGAACCTCTGTCCCCCAGGATCCCCTTCGTGTCCCCCAGGACACCCTCTATGTCCCCAGGACTCCCTCTGTGTCCCCAAGACCCTCTCTGTGTCCCCCAGGATCCTTTCTGTGTCCCCCTACCCCCCCGTATCCCTTAGGCCCCCCTCTGTGTCCCCCAGGACCCCTTCTGTTTCCCCTAGGATCCCCCATGTTCCCCCGGACTCCCTCCGTGTCCCCAAAAGCCTCTCTGTGACCCCCCAGGACCCCATCTGTGTCCCCAGGATCCCTTCGGTATCTGCCAGGGCCCCCTCTGTGTCCCCTAGGACCCCCTCTGTGTCCCCAGGACCCCTTCAGCATCTCCCCTCCGTGACCTGACCCCTCAGGGGTCTGGAACCGTCGACCTGGGAAGGAAGGAAGGAGGTGACCCACCTGTGCAGGTGGCTTCCCCACCCGCATGCTCCCTGCTGGGAAGGAAGTCTTTGGTCCACTTCCCAAAGGTCAGGGCCTGGAACACCATGTGACCAGGCAAATTCCAGGGAGTTGGTGTAGGTACCTGAAGTGACTGGCTTTCCACAGGCAGGACACGAAGGTGAACTGGCAAATTGGGGTGGAGGGCCTTATAGAACATTAGATCAGTCTGGTGTATGACTATACCCTTTTGTTTACTCAATAAAAGTATTCTTACCAACTTCTGCCTTGCAGGGTAGCCTGGCTGCCCAGCTGTGTCTTTTCCAGCCTGGGAGGCAGTTCCCCTTTCTCCCAGACTCCTTAGGCAGTGAGTCAGACTGAATTGCATCCAGAAACCCTACCTTGGTGGTTATTTATTTATTTACCTCAAACCAGGACTAACTTGGTATTTTCGAATCTTTCCTTGAACTCTAGAGACAAGTGGAGTAAAGGCTGGTGACTTTGCTCTGCTAACTGGTTTGGAATATTAACTTGAAACATGCAAGTCAGCACCAAGCAGAAGTAGCAAGAGATTTTTAAACATTTAATTAATCTATTTATTTTTGTTCTGGTACTGGGGTTGGACTCAGGACTTGAGTCTTGTCTTTTAGGTGCTCTACCACTTGAGCCACAGCTCCATTTCTGGCTTTTTGCTGGTTAATTGGAGATGAGTCTCACAGACATTCCACCCTGAGCTGGTTTCAAACTGGAATCCTCAGATATCAGCCTCCTGAATAGCTAGGATTACAGGCATGAGCCACCAGCACTCAGCATGAGGGTAGGGTTTTTGTTGTTGTTGTTGTTTTCTTAAATATCCTGATATTACTTGGATGCCCTTATCTGTTTCCACAATAGAAAGGTATGTGAACCAGGAGCAAGGAATAACACATATCCCTCCTCCCCCTCCGAGCCTGGATAATTTTTAATCTGTAAAATGAGATCACCACACTGGATTATTCTTAGGGTTTTTAGGTTGAAGTCAGATAGTAGTAGTTATTCATAAGAGGTGCATAACATAACACACATGCTTAATAAAGATAGAATTAATACCTACTTGATAAAGATGGCCCAGAAAAGCAGCCCCCTAACAATAACGGTTTAGACAACATGGTAAAGCAGTGGGTGTCATCTATGTATTAGAATTCAGATGAAGGAGAAGATTTTTACTTCTGAAGCTGCTGAGGATTTCTGCATCCATCCCGAGGCAGGCTGAGATGAACCCCACCACCCAAGTTCTTGATGGAAGGGGACCTAAGAGGTGAGGTGTGAGCCAGAAGACAGATGTCTGGTTCTTGGCACCAGACCTAATGTGTGCCACCAAGACCGCCCACCGGACCCCACTTGACTCCTGGCATCTATTTTTACTCTTCTCAGCTCGCAGGTCGGTTTGGCTCATCTCCTTGTATTTGCTGCTTCCACTCCCCCAGCCAGCTTGCTAATCAGTTTGCCTATTTGACTCACAGGGTTTGCATTTGTCACTGAGACTTAAAACACACACTTGTTTTGATTTCTTTTTTGTAAAATTAGAAGTGTTTGATGTAATGACTCTACCTAGACACAGCTGGCAAAGTGAGAATAATGTTCAAGTTTGCATCGTTTAAACACAATGTAGACAATAATTAGAAATGCTATCTTTAGCTGTTTAGGATAAGCTTTTTCTCAGAATGGCAGTTCATTTTTCTTTTCTGAGTGGGGATTTTTAGTGCACATACACAGAAATACTAAAAATGTAAGAAAATAGAGCAAATTAGTGAGCACTTTGGTCAACTTGAAAAACTGCAGGAAATAAGCCAACTGATTTTAGATCTGCATTTTTTTTAACTGAATGCATAAAATCTTTACATTCGCCATGTTTTTCACAACTACTGAATGATCAGATAATAATAATGATCAGACAGAATACAACTTATACACTGCACAGTATGCTGGAAACAATGTTTGGCCTGCTATGATGGCAGAGAGAAAGAATGATGCAAATAATACAGATAAGCATTCTATCAAGAAAATGATCACATTTTTATTTCAGGTAACAAAGGAGATAGTTATATAGCAAGATTATTGTAGAATCCAATACAGTAAAGTCTGAAAATGAAGTTACTTTTCATTAAAACTACAAAATAAAGATGAGTGCTGGTGGCTTGTGCCTCTAATCTTAACTACTTAGGAGACTGAGATCTGAGGATCAAGGTTTAAAGTTAGCCTGGACAGAAAAGTCCATGAGACTCTTCAGTTAATCACCAAAAAGCTGGAAGTAGAGCTGTGGCTCAAGCGGTAGAGCACCAGCCTTAAGAGGAAAAAGACAAGTAAGAGACCTGAGTTCAAGCCCCAGAACTGGCTTTTTTTTTTAATTAAAGAAAAAACAAAACTCAAAACATCAAAGACAGCCCTGTACCGGTGGCTGGTCCCTAACTACTCAGGAGGCTCAGATCTGAGGATTGTGATTCAAAGCCAGCCTGGGCAAGAAAGTCCATAAGACTCATCTCCAATTAACCACCAGAACTGGCACTATAGTTCAAAGAGGGTAGGGCACTAGCCTTGAGCAAAAAGAGCATAAGGACAGCACCCAGGCCCCGAGTTCTGTTCCAGGACTGACAAAAAAACAACAAAAAAAACCCCGATAACATCATCAGAAATCCCATACAAAACAGCATCTGTTGTTTAGTGCAGGGGTGAGGGGGTGGTGTCAATAATTTTTTAAAAATTAAATTTAATTAGTGATCACTGGCCTCCACTAAGTTCAGACTCTATTTCTGAGTTCCCACGGACCCTCCAGAGAAAACTTTCAGCATTATGCAGACCTTCTTTGCATATCTGGAATAAGCTTCACTGAATGAAGAGGGGATGCTTAGTTTGAGACATATCCAGCACTTTAAATTGCCTTCCTGCTGTATCATGTGTGTGTGTGTGTGTGTGTGTGTGTGTGTGTGTGTGTGTGTGTGTGTGTGTGTGTGTGTGTGTGTAAAACCACAAGCATGATATTTAGGACCAAGTCCTTCTTATATTTTTCTACTTCTCTTTCTAATTAGATTCACTACTGAAGTCCCATTTGTATCTCTTCAGTCTTCTCATTTCTCTCTGCGCAGACAGTCAGCTGGGGAAAAGGACTATATTGAAAGCAGTGAGTTGAGGCCTGCTTGGGGTTTTGGACATCTTGCTCTCCATACTACTAAGGAGAAGCATTGCCACAAACCCAGCCTTCCAGAACAGAAGCAGAGGGAGAAGGTGCTCTTTTTCAAAGAGAAATAGAGTACTCATTCACCCATAGGAACACAATGAAGCCATAAGAACACCCCATCTTTTCAGAGGCATGGAAAACTGAGAAAGGCAAAGACACACTGTCATTGTAAAGAGACAGGGAAGAAAGATGCAATATGCAAGTCTCATGGTCTCTGGGAGTCTTAAAAGAAGGCAGCTAGACTTTCTATGCCATCCGGCGAGCTTGGGTACAAATATACTCCGTGAAAGAAAGACATCAAAAAAAAATCACGGAAACACATGAACACTGGACAGCAGAGTCTTTTTCTGGAACTTCACATTGGGTTGAGGATACGTTTGTTTGGGAAAATATGGAAGAGGAGAAACGACAGGGGAAAAACCCCTCAGTTTACTTACATTTACTTACATTTGCCTGTCTCCTGGGGACACTGTAGGAGAACGGGGAGAGGAAGGAAGAGTGCAAGCAGGGCAGGAAAGGCCTGTAAAGGGAAGGAGTTAGAGATGACAAATGACTGTTTTTCTAACACCAACCCATTTCCACAGGCCTTAATTAAAAGGAAGACAAACACCCATATGTAAAAATCCACACCTAAGGGCTCGCAGGTACAGAGTGGTCAGGAGACCGGCAGAGTGTGCAAACTAGCTTTCATTAAGAGACCTGTCAGCTCAGTTTCATTGATCCACTACGGCTCTGCCTTCTGCTGGCACCAAACTGGAAAAAGAATAGAGGGACAAATGCACCTGTAGAGAGTAGCACATGCCTAGAACACATGGCTAGAAAACAGGGATATAGTTAAAAACAAAACAAAAAGATATGAAAGAACAGCCCCTCCCCAACCCCTACCTAAACCATAAAGAATAAAAAGGACACGTGGGGTTCAGAGCTAACACTGATGGCCGAGTCAAGTCTACTTAAATCGAATTCCTAATTCTACTGCACTGCTAAGATGTGATTTGTTTTGATGGTTGCCCATTTAGTGTCTGCATTTCTAGTGCATGAATCTAGAAACAATAATACCATCTCCTTGCTAAGAGTTGGTTTAGACCTAGGCATGCAAGATGGTTACATAGGCAATTGATGATTCTGACTAAGAAAATGTAGCCAGAACTGTTTCTTGTTCTTAAAGTGCACACATTTATACACAGGGAGGAGCAACTCCCTATGTGAGAACATGGGTATCTGCTACTGCTGCTGCAGCTATTTTGCTGTCATGAGGGAGTAACTGACACAGAACAAGCAAAGCAGACAGGTGAACACTAGACCCCTGGAGACTTTCTCAAAAGAACCAGCCCTAGATGCTGTAATTCAGAATTCTCGTGATTTCTTTTGCGGGGGGGCGGGGGGGGGCGTGGTTGTGGGGCTTGAACTCAGGGCCTGGGTGTTATCCCTAAGCTGGTGTTTGCTCAAGGCTAATGCTCTACCACTTTGAGCCATAGCTCCACTTCAGGTTCTTTGGTGATTAACTTGAGATAAGAGTTTCATGAACTTTCCTACCCAGACTGACTTTGAACCACAATCCTTAGATCTCAGCTTCCTAAGAAGCTAAGATTACAAGTATGAGCCACTAGTACCCAGCTCTGGTGATGTCATATTCACTATCCTATTGTTTTAAGTTTCTGTAAGTGTGGCTTATTAGATTGTATGATGACTGCCTTTACAAGGCCTCTATTTTGTGTGTGCTGGTACTGGAGCTTGAACTTAGGGTCTGGGGTTGTCCCTTAGCTTTTTCACTCAGGGCTGACACTCTAACACTCAAGTCATACCGCCAGGTCCAGTTTTCTTTTTATTGTTTTTTTTTTTTTTTTGCCAGTGAATTGTAGATAAGAGCTTCCTGGGCTTTCCTGCCTGGGTTGGCTTTAAACTATGATCTTCAGACCTCAGCCTTCTGAGTAGCTATGATTACAGGCCTTAACTACCTGGTGTCTGGCCCTTTTAATGACTCTTTTTTGGAGGGGAGGGGAGTCAGTCGTGGAGCCTGAACTCTGGGCCTGGGCACTGTTCCTCAGTTCTTCAGCTCAATGCTA